GTGCAGACACTGAGCTGATGCTACCGCCATGTTGGAGGGCACATGTGGCTGATTATGAAATGAAGAAGGGTCACTTGGTCTGATATGTAGCTATGATCAAATTGATTTAAAATTTCACTGCTGGGAATAAAAGTCCTGAAAGACCAGCAGTGAGACCAGCGGTCCTCAACTCCAGGTTCGGTGTCCGGCTTCGTCTCACGGCGTCTCGGGTGTTGACCTGACAGAAACAATGAGGTCATCAGCAGGATGGACAGCCTGACTGAACACCGTTTGGTTCCGGTGTGTTGGACCAGGGGCCCGTCTACAGCGGACCCTTCAATGTCCCTTAATGTTTTCCAAATGTTCTGTGGGGAGGGACCACGCCCACCGTGGAGACCCCCAGGGAGAGTCTAAGACCTGTGCTTGTGTGTCTTCATCAGGAAGCAACTTCTGGCGACATGCTACCAAACGGACTGGTCCCGGGCCACGCCTACACGGTGACGGGTCTGAAAGAGGTAACGGCTCTCTGGACCTGTCCTGAGCAGAACCTGAGTTCTCCTTTAGCTCAGCTCTACCCAGTCAGTTCATCCATGAAAAGCTGCAGTTTAACCTAATTCAAATAGTTTTTACTTTCATTACCATGCAGCCCAAATCCATCAGATACACAGGGTAACCATGGCACCTGAGATTCAATAGCTTTACATACAAATGCAGATCTCAGAACAAACTTGGAGTGTTGATGTCAGTGCTGACAGTGTGGGTTGTATGCTGACCAATCAGCTGCAGATCCAGGGAGACGTGGGTGAAGCTGGTGCGCCTGTGGAACCCCTGGGGCCACGGAGAGTGGAACGGAGACTGGAGCGACCGGTGAGACCTCGCGGCTGGAAAGGCTGGTCTGTTTCTGCTCAAACTGATAAATAAATGCTTCCTCCTTGTTCTGAGAGGTCTCCTCTGTGGCGAAGCGTCAGCACAAAGGACCGCGAAAAGTGCCTCACTGTGGCGAATGACGGAGAGTTTTGGTAAACAGACTGAAGTTACAAATCAGAAATATTAAGTTTCTGATTTATTGAAAACGCTCCGGAATACAGTCAGCATATGAAAATGTGTTCAGGATGAGCCTGGAGGATTGCTGCAGATATTACACCAATATCGAAATCTGCGGCATGAGACCCGACTTCCTGGACGAAGACCCGGCCTGCCACTGGAAGACGTCCATGTACGAGAACCGCTGGGTGGCAGGAACCACGGCTGGAGGCTACATCAACCACAGGTAAGAACCGGAACCAGAACTGCACCATGGCCCAACATCTCTGCTCTGGAGTCAGTCATGACCTTTGACCTGCTAACGGAGGCCTGTGCAGTAGCCAGAGGTGGACCTCTGGGTCGTTTCTCTGCGCTCCAGTGAGACGTTGTTGTTATGGTTCTGAATCTGTGAGTCTCCTGGTAGAGAAGCTGCTGAGTCTGGATGTTTTCCTTTCGTTGGTTCAGTTAAAGTTCTACGTTCCTGTTATTCCAGAGACTTTCTGGACCAATCCCCAGTATCGGCTCAAGGTTTGTGGAAAACCCGATTCCTCTCAGACCAGGAACACCCTGGTGTCTCTCATGCAGAAGCTGGACAAGAGGAACAGGCGTTCGGCGCAGCTCTTCTTCATCGGCTTCTTCATCTTTGAGGTAAATATGTTTCTACAGGAAGTATAATGTCCCAACTTTCCATAACTGGATCAAACCAGCACCTCGATTTTTCCATTTTGTTCAATGTTAGACATTTGTAATTTGTAATAATTCACTTTTTTTGTCTCCAACATGGACAATTTTCCACTGATTTTCCTCAAGGTGCCAGAAAAAGTAAGTATGTGTTCTGAGTAACGGCTCCCAGAAACTTCTGCAGAATAATGAGGCGTGTTCATTTTCCTGCAGGATGAGAAACACGCCGGAAAGTTCCCGGCATCGTTCTTCAGCAGCCATAGACCCGTTGCCCAAACCAAGAAGTTGATGAAGTCCCGTGAAGTGATGGAGTTTGTGACACTGAAGCCCGGAGAATACGTCATCGTGCCGTGCACCGACAACCCCAACCAGACCGCCTCCTTCCTCCTGACCATCTTCTCCCGGGAAGAGACCTACTGCAAGTAGGTGCAGACATTTGCAAACGCATTAACCGGTCAGAAGAATCTGGACAGGGTGGTTAATTATCCGTCCTATCGGTCTAAGATAGCAGAGAGCTGTGGTTGGTGAACCGTGACCAGGTTCTCACTGACTGGTTGGTTTCTCTGCAGGATTTGTTATTTGTCTCTGGAATAAAATGACAGTTCATAAATGGTTGATGTCCATGATGTGGAAACTGTTTATCTGTGACTTCAGATGGTGGAAACTTTTCTTTATCTTTTTCTCCCCAGTGAAAACTCTGGACACAATTTCAACAATCAAGTTGAAAAGGTTTGTTTCTGCAGAGACGTTTGTTGATCCTGTGTTTGATGTTTTCATCTTAAGATTTCTCAGAACTGTTTCATTAACAGGCGAAGAAAGAGAAAAACAGACAGGATGTTGAAAATAAGAAGCTCCTGTTCCGTCAGTACTCAGACAAGGTAACCTGCTTCAGACCAGTGCAGCCTCCAGTGGTGAGCATTGCTAACTGAAGAGCTAGCTGCTTTGACACAGAAACATTAGTGCTGCTAACGCTAAAGCTCTACACCAACACAGTCATTCCTAAACGTGAAGCTACTATTGACGATGTTGCTGCTGACCATGTGCTGCAACATCAACGTTGCCCTCATCAGGATCAGATTTGTCATGATTTATCTTCCTGCCAGGTTTGGCTTCAGCAGCCATTGTCCTGGTTTCAGTTCTTTAGTTGCTGAGTTTTGCTAAATCTGCTGCTGATTTTGTTGACTGTTTACTGTAGAGCTAGAGTGATGCATTCTGGGTACAAGATAAATGTCATCTGGTGCACGGCATCATGTATGGAGAACATGAGGAACGTTTTGCAGCAGAATACATTTATAATTACTTGAATAATTCTTAAGTGTTGAACAGCTGAGTTTTGAGTTACAAAACTTTCAGTTTACAAAACAGCTGTTTAAATTAGTGCTTTAAAATTTATCTGGAAAAATAAAATGCTTTTAACATCGGCTAAAGCGCTAAGCTAAATATTAGCTTTGCTTTTAGCTCACTTACAAACTAGCAGAAATGTGTCCAATATATTTCAAACCTAAACATGTTTTTATTTCTAATAAAATCTGAGGTTTGAAAGTCATTATAGGAGGATCCGGTCAGTCTGTTGTCAAGCTGTGCAGAGATTTGTTCAGCTCAACCTGTGATTCGTCACAAATCAAAATGTTCTCGTTTTCAGTATGAAGAAGTCGACGCTGAGCTGCTGCAGCAGCTTCTGAAAGGTTTGAACGTGAACGGCAGTAATTCACAGCTTAGGGAGACGCTGCTAAGATGAATAACCTCTGACCTTTTCCGTGCAGGTGACCAGATATCAGGAAGCTTCAGCATCGACGCATGTCGCAGCATGGTGGCTCTGATGGATGTATCCTGCTAGGGTGCAAGAATCTTCACTGCTTACAGACGAAACTCTTGTTGCCTTAACAGGAATTCAACAGGAATCTGGAGATGGGAAGCTGGACAGTCAGGAGTTTGGTCATCTGTGGCACAAGATTATGAAATATAAGGTAGTAGAACGAAGCCAAGGGGAAATCTGGACTGTATGGTTCTGCTTTAGTCAACAGATATTAAATAGTTCCTGTTGCCTTTCATCAGCAAGTTTTTACCAAAATGGATGCTTCCCAAACGGGAACGCTGTCACTGACGGAGCTGAGGAACGCTTTGAGACACTCAGGTAAATCCATTCGTTAGAACGTTACGGAGTTTCTGTGCAGAGATCAGGGTGACTGATCAGTCACCTTGGATGAGATTGAAGACTTAACATCTATGCTAAAGTCATTAGCCAAAGCCCTGAGCTAAAGCCATTAGCTAATGGCTTAGCTAAAGCCCTGAGCTAAAGCCACTAGCTAAAGCCACTAGCTAAAGCCACTAGCTAAAGCCCTGAGCTAAAGCCACTAGCTAAAGCCCTGAGCTAAAGCCACTAGCTAAAGCCACTAGCTAAAGCCCAGAGCTAAAGCCACTAGCTAAAGCCCTGAGCTTAAGCCACTAGCTAAAGCCCTGAGCTAAAGCCATTAGCTAAAGCTCTGAGCTAAAGCCACTAGCTAAAGTCACTAGCTAAAGCTCTGAGCTAAAGCCACTAGCTAAAGCCCTGAGCTAAAGCCACTAGCTAAAGTCACTAGCTAAAGCCACTAGCTAAAGCTCTGAGCTAAAGCCACTAGCTAAAGCCCTGAGCTAAAGCCACTAGCTAAAGCCCTGAGCTTAAGCCACTAGCTAAAGCCACGAGCTAAAGCCCTGAGCTAAAGCCACTAGCTAAAGCCCTGAGCTAAAGCCACTAGCTAAAGCCCTGAGCTTAAGCCACTAGCTAAAGCCACGAGCTAAACCCCTGAGCTAAAGCCACTAGCTAAAGCCCTGAGCTAAAGCCACTAGCTAAAGCCCTGAGCTAAAGCCACTAGCTAAAGCACTGAGCTAAAGCCACTAGCTAAAGCCCTGAGCTAAAGCCATTAGCTAAAGCCCTGAGCTAAAGCCACTAGCTAAAGCTCTGAGCTAAAGACACTAGCTAAAGCCCTGAGCTAAAGCCACTAGCTAAAGCACTGAGATAAAGCCACTAGCTAAAGCCCTGAGCTAAAGCCACTAGCTAAAGCCCTGATCTAAAGCCACTAGCTAAAGCTTTGAGCTAAAGCCACTAGCTAAAGCTCTGAGCAAAAGCCACTAGCTAAAGCCCTGAGCTAAAGCCACTAGCTAAAGCCCTGAGCTAAATCCACTAGCTAAAGCCTTGAGCTAAAGCCACTAGCTAAAGCCCTGAGCTAAAGCCACTAGCTAAAGCCACGAGCTAAAGCCACTAGCTAAAGCCCTGAGCTAAAGCCACTAGCTAAAGCCACTAGCTAAAGCTCTGAGCTAAAGCCACTAGCTAAAGCACTGAGCTAAAGCCACTAGCTAAAGCCCTGATCTAAAGCCACTAGCTAAAGCCCTGAGCTAAAGCCACTAGCTAAAGCTCTGAGCTAAAGCCACTAGCTAAAGCCCTGAGCTAAAGCCACTAGCTAAAGCCCTGAGCTAAAGCCACTACCTAAAGCCCTGAGCTAAAGCCACTACCTAAAGCCCTGAGCTAAATCCACTAGCTAAAGCCTTGAGCTAAAGCCACTAGCTAAAGCCCTGAGCTAAAGCCACTAGCTAAAGCCACGAGCTAAAGCCACTAGCTAAAGCCCTGAGCTAAAGCCACTAGCTAAAGCCACTAGCTAAAGCTCTGAGCTAAAGCCACTAGCTAAAGCACTGAGCTAAAGCCACTAGCTAAAGCCCTGATCTAAAGCCACTAGCTAAAGCCCTGAGCTAAAGCCACTAGCTAAAGCTCTGAGCTAAAGCCACTAGCTGAAGCCCTGAGCTAAAGCCACTAGCTAAAGCCCTGAGCTAAAGCCACTACCTAAAGCCACTAGCTAAAGCACTGAGCTAAAGCCACCAGCTAAAGCCCTGAGCTAAAGCCCCTAGCTAAAGCTCTGAGCTAAAGCCACTAGCTAAAGCACTGAGCTAAAGCCACCAGCTAAAGCCCTGAGCTAAAGCCACTAGCTAAAGCCCTGAGCTAAAGCCACTAGCTAAAGCCCTGAGCTAAAGCCACTAGCTAAAGCCCTGAGCTAAAGCCACTACCTAAAGCCCTGAACTAAAGCCACTAGCTAAAGCTCTGAGCTAAAACCACTAGCTAAAGCACTGAGCTAAAGCCACTAGCTAAAGCCCTGAGCTAAAGCCACAAGCTAAAGCCCTGAGCTAAAGCCACTAGCTAAAGCCCTGAGCTAAAGCCACTACCTAAAGCCCTGAACTAAAGCCACTAGCTAAAGCTCTGAGCTAAAGCCACTAGCTAAAGCACTGAGCTAAAGCCACTAGCTAAAGCCCTGAGCTAAAGCTCTGAGCTAAAGCCACTAGCTAAAGCACTGAGCTAAAGCCACTAGCTAAAGCCCTGATCTAAAGCCACTAGCTAAAGCCCTGAGCTAAAGCCACTAGCTAAAGCTCTGAGCTAAAGCCACTAGCTAAAGCCCTGAGCTAAAGCCACTAGCTAAAGCCCTGAGCTAAAGCCACTACCTAAAGCCCTGAGCTAAAGCCACTAGCTAAAGCCCTGAGCTAAAGCCACTACCTAAAGCCCTGAACTAAAGCCACTAGCTAAAGCCCCTAGCTAAAGCTCTGAGCTAAAGCCACTAGCTAAAGCACTGAGCTAAAGCCACCAGCTAATGCCCTGAGCTAAAGCCACTAGCTAAAGCTCTGAGCTAAAGCCACTAGCTAAAGCACTGAGCTAAAGCCACTAGCTAAAGCCCTGATCTAAAGCCACTAGCTAAAGCCCTGAGCTAAAGCCACTAGCTAAAGCTCTGAGCTAAAGCCACTAGCTAAAGCCCTGAGCTAAAGCCACTACCTAAAGCCTGAGCTAAAGCCACTAGCTAAAGCCCTGAGCTAAAGCCACTACCTAAAGCCCTGAACTAAAGCCACTAGCTAAAGCCCCTAGCTAAAGCTCTGAGCTAAAGCCACTAGCTAAAGCACTGAGCTAAAGCCACCAGCTAAAGCCCTGAGCTAAAGCCACTAGCTAAAGCCCTGAGCTAAAGCCACTAGCTAAAGCCCTGAGCTAAAGCCACTAGCTAAAGTCCTGAGCTAAAGCCACTACCTAAAGCCCTGAACTAAAGCCACTAGCTAAAGCTCTGAGCTAAAACCACTAGCTAAAGCCCTGAGCTAAAGCCACTAGCTAAAGCCCTGAGCTAAAGCCACTAGCTAAAGCCCTGAGCTAAAGCCACTACCTAAAGCCCTGAACTAAAGCCACTAGCTAAAGCCACTAGCTAAAGCTCTGAGCTAAAGCCACTAGCTAAAGCACTGAGCTAAAGCCACTAGCTAAAGCCCTGAGCTAAAGCCACTAGCTAAAGCCCTAAGCTAAAGCCACTAGCTAAAGCCCTGAGCTAAAGCCACTAGCTAAAGCCCTGAGCTAAAGCCACTAGCTAAAGACACTAGCTAAAGCCACTAGCTAAAGCCCTGAGCTGTTTCCCAGGTATGAATATCAGCGATGAACTGCTCAACCTGATGGTGGTTCGCTACGGCGCCTCCTCGGGTCACATGACCCTGGAGAACTTCATCAGCCTTGGCATCCGCCTGAGCCACATGAACAGTGAGTGAAGCTCTGAACAGACATGTTGACCCCTGACCCTGGGTCAGCGGGTCAGCCTGGCGTAAACCTGACCTGGTCTGACAGTCGCCTTCCTTCTGTTTGTTCTGCAGAAATCTTTTCAGAGCTGTCAGACGGGAGAAACGTTACCCTGTCCGGGTCAGAGGTAAGAAAGCTCCAGGACAGACTTCAGCTCCAGGTTAAATATGAATATTGATGATTCTGGTCCCTGATGGTGGTTAATAATCTGCCTGTGATTTTAGTGGCTGTTCCTCTCCATGTACACCTGACCCAGCAGGGAGAAGACAGGAAACAAGATCTGCCGAAACACGTTGGAATTTCAGAGGAAAATTAGCTTTTTTCCTATTTTTCATACAATCCTTCTGTGGTGATTTACTTTGACTTGTCCTCCTTTAAATGATTACATTTTGAAGAACTTCTGAGCTGCTTTCTCTTTTATCACTTTAATGTTTTAATACATGGAGTCCATATCCAGACTTGCTGGTTATTTTTACTCCACATTTGATGTGATTTGTCTTCAGTGTTGCTGAGCTTTTACCTGGCCTGGAGTTGTAGGCTTTCTTGGTAGTAATAATGCATTTTAAATTTTGGTACATTTCTCTGCACTCAAATTAATAAAATCAAATAATAAAATCACTAGAATATAGAGCAAACGGCATCAGACAGAATAAACAGTTCTGATGAAAATTGGATTTGATTGGTTCGTCTGATTTGCATGACAGATGAACCTGATGCTCTTCATGGTGACCTTTGACTCTGGAAAAATAACAGTTGCAACTTCAGGGTGCATCTTTCACCTGTTTGATCCACTTCAATCCGACTCCAGTCCATTTGTCTGGTCAAAGTCCGGTTCAGTTGGTGAGGTGTGAACACTAATCGACCTCTGACCTCTGGTCCTCCAAATCTTGGTCTGAGTTCAATTTGAATGTGAACGCCAAGCGGACCAGAGACCGCTCCAAAAATAGGAAGTGGACTCGAGTACAGGGGATTCTGGGTAAATACAACCAAAACTAACATGTTAGCCTAGCGCTAGCAGGAGAAATGGCTCCTGGTCTTTAGACATAGACTAAAGAGAAATCCTGCAACACTAAAAGAGCAAATTGCCTCCATCTTGTTTCCATTTAGGAAGGACCTGCTGCAGCAACAGGAAGGGGTGGGGCTGGGCGGACCGCTGGCAGTCTCTTACTGTAGTGTCTGAATAAACAGAGGAGGCTCGAGCTGTGTCCATTTCTATATCCATTTCTGTTTGTTGTTGCGCTACGTTCAGGATAAACTGAGAGAAGTTGTGTCTCTGAATACAATGGACTGCACCAACTCTGGTAAACCAGGGGGTAAATACACCACATCATCCCCCTTTTACATAACATTTTTATCTCTATTAACTAAAATAACCTAAGGTCACTGATTTAATCTTGAGTACATTTTCACGTAGAACCAAACAATGACCCAAATATGCATTTACTTGGTAATCAAGACATTTTTCAATCTGTTTACCTGTCCATCTAAGTCAGATGCAACCCTTATGTGACATGAATCATAACAAAACTTAACATGCATAACTGTTATGCCTAGAAAAACAGAAGGCTATTCAAGATAATGTTTTGGCATCTTCCGTGGTCGTGTTGAACACCTCACAACTGCTGGAGGATCTGGGGAAACAGGAGGATACACCCCAGAGCACTTTGTTCAGGTGTAACATTTATGTCACTTTGCTCTTGTGTCGATGGTTCAGGTTCCTCTATATTTGGTTCAGCTACAGCTTGGGTACGAAGCTGATCCCCATATCGTCTGTGCACAGTGTTCGAGTCAAACTGGGCCAGTTTGTCTTACAACCTGTCCAGGTGTCCACTTGTGAAATCCTCCCCCCGTGTTGCAAAGATACACAGCATCATCCACAGAAAAGGAACGCTCCACGGCTGTGAAGTCATGTTGAGCTTTTTGTCGATACTGCTTGGTGGTAGCACAACTAATATCATTACATTATTAAATCAGAATAGTCTTTATTATTTACTATTAATTCTGGTGTTACTGGAACAGTTAATGTGCTCAGTCCCTCAGTACTCTCCCTGGGACGTTGTCGGGGCCTCCAGCTTATGGGGGTCGATTTCCTGGAAGGACGTCTTCACATCTGCTGTGGTCACACAAAGAGGAGTTTCACCTGGTGGCGCTGTTACTCTGGTGCTGAGGAAGATGTTAGGAGTCTCGAAGCGGGCGTTCTCCTGTGATTCTATGAATGACTTTTATTTTATCGTTTAGTCGAAGAAAAATTTCCACCTTGATTTAAATAGATTCATCTTATTTTTCCAATACATAAGACTGTACCAACAAAAAGACTCTCAGAATAACATGGCACCATAAAAACAAGTGACTCTTAGCTTGTATCTGTTTAGCAATCCTAGTTGTAACCAGATGTTATTTTTCTGTGAATGTAATTAATTTGTTACTTATGGACTTTTGCTCAATTAAATTTCTTATCTATACATAGTAAATGGTATTTTTATTGTAGCTGATCATGTTGTTTTTCATATCTCCTTATTTCTTTTGTTCCTACTATAATTGATAAAGATATTTATAAGGTATAAAAGTATTGTTTGTCATTGAATTAGCTCTACCTCCTTAAGTACATGTAAAATATGGTGTGTTATTAGATAATTTATATTTCATAGTTCCAGTAATACCAGAATTAATCGTCAATAAAGACTTTGTGCTATTCTGATTTAATAATGTAATATTAGTTGTGCTACCACCCCACGCCACTAGAGGCAGTATAAAGCCCCAAAAGATGCGACGAAGGAGCAGATTTAGAAGAACACAGGAAACTACAGAATCTGTTTAAACTGTGAGCTGCACTAAGTAAATAATAGAGAGAAGATCAAATTCATGCTGAGAGTGAAAATCCTTCCTAAAGGTGAAAATGTAGCACAGATTTCAAAGGAAAATAAAAACGGGAGACATGGATAATATAGGAAATAGCGCCCCCTTCACTTCCGGAGTGCAACGGTCCATTTCCATATAAGGTAAGAGACTGCCAGCGGTCCGTCCCGCCCCTTCCTGTTGTTGCAGCAGGTCTTTCTCGGTGGACTTGTTTCATCAGGTGAAGCAGGAAGTTGCTCTCAGTGTCTTCAGAGGTTTTTGTGTTGTTTCCCTCACTGGTTCTTGGTGCAGCGCCCCCACAGGCCATGAGGGGAACAGGTAGCTAAAAGCAGCTGGAAATGGATGAAAAGTTTTGGTTACTGTCCACCGGACCATCAGGAGGAAACGTCATGAAACTGGGAATCTTTTGGGATCCTCAGAATGAGCTTCCTGTCAGACAACATGGAAGGAAGGATAGACCTGAGACCACCTGTGACATAAATTAAAGCCATCATGCAGTCACATTATAAATGTGTTTTTATTTCATCACTTGTAAGGTTGTGAAGTTGAAATGTTTTCTACAGAAAATGCACATGAAATTAATGAATGTAGATTATTCTGGCTCAGTCTGAGCTGAGAGGGAGCCGATCTTCTTCCTGGGTGCCTCTTCCTGCAGACTCATGTGTACATGGAAATGTAGATCCACTGCAAACAGAGAGAGCAGCGTTAGTGGTTCCTTCTGCTCCACTCGGGAGTGAGGCTGACGTCTTCACCTCTGACTCCTGCAGGCTCATCGTTTTCCCATCAGACAGCTGCCGGAAGATCTCTGTCACAGAAACCGAGATGTTAGTGCCTTTGATCCGGATTAGCCGTTTGAACTGGACCAGAACCGTCAGCTGCATCCGGCCGACTCACTGAACATGCAGTCCAGACGCAGGATGAGGCTGATGAAGCTCTCCAGTGTCATGTGACCAGAGGAGGCGCCGTAGCGCAGCGCCATCAGGTTCAGCGTGTCGTCAGAGACTCTCATCCCTGGAAACACACAGACCAGGTCAGGATTGGGACAGGATCGGGTCAGGATTGGGACAGGATTGGGTCAGGATTGGGTCATGATTGGGTCAGGACCGGGTCATGATTGGGTCAGGACTGGGACAGGATTGGGTCAGGACCGGGTCAGGATTGGGTCCAGCTCAGAGTCAGGTCACATGACCCAGAGGTTCTGCAGAACCTGGAGTACCTGAAGCGGTGAGTGCGTTCCTGAGCTCCGTCAGCGACAGAGTTCCAGTCCGAGAAACATCAGTTTGAAAGAAAATGTCCTGACAAACAAACGTGACACGCAATAAAACACATATGTTGTGGAACAGGAACATGGAAACACGTCTGGAAAGCCAGTGGATGTTGTTACCTTGTAAATGATGACTTTGTTCCACAGTCGGATGAACTCGCTGCTGTTCAGTCTGCCAGTTACTGACGTCTTGAAACTGATGGTGAAGGAAGAATCGTCTGACCTGCTGCTTCATTAAACCTCCGAAAGCAGCAAAAGCTCCAGTTCTCATCAAACTGGCCACAGACGGGGTTTCCCACGCCTTAGTCCAGGGGTCCCTTCTATTTAATATCTTTTAGCTCAGGTTAAAACTCAAATCAGACTAGTTACCATGACGTCGCAGATGATACACAGCTCTATATTACCGCGTCACCAGGTGACCTTTGACCCCATCCAATCACTGAACAGACAGTAGATCAATGTGTGAATGGTGACAAAACTTTCTGACTGAACACAAACTAAAGTTACAGATCTAGAGTTACAGATCTAGAGTTACAGATCTAGAGTTACAGATCTACTCCATTTATCTGTGTGATAAGCAGAACCCTGCCAGGACGGGCTGGGCGGTTCTGACCATCGCAGCAGGATACGTCCATGAGAGCGACCATACTCCGACAGGCGTCGATGCTGAAACCTCCAGATTTCAGGTCGCCTGCAGATCCAAGCGCAGAGCGTTAGCATAGCAGCACTAGCAGCTATCGCTGACAACACAATGGCAGTGATAGCTGTTATAGTTGGCAGCGTTAGCAGAAATAGCTAGCACTGATACTTAGCAGCGTTAACAGCGATAATTAGCAACAATAGCTGGCAGCGACAGCTAGCAGTAATAGCTAGCAGCAACAGGTAGCAGCAACAGCTAGCAACCATAGCTAGCAGCAAGAGCTAGCAGCAACAGGTAGCAGCAACAGCTAGCAGCAATAGTAGCAGCGACAGCTAGCAGCAACAGCTAGCAGCAATAGCTAGCAGCAACAGGTAGCAGCAACAGCTAGCAGCAATAGTAGCAGCGACAGCTAGCAGTAATAGCTAGCAGCAACAGTTAGCAGCAAGAGCTAGCAGCAACAGGTAGCAGCAACAGCCAGCAGCAACAGTTAGCCTGATAGCACATCCTATTGATCACTGAAGGATTTTGCAGTCTGGACCTTTCAGAAGGTTCTCGTTTAGGATTCTCTGGAGCTGCTCTGCATCCATCTCTTCATACTGCAGGAAACAAACGATACTCAGCTGATGTTTGCAATGTCTGCATGTCTGCAATCCGTCTCTCCCTCCGTTTTGTTTCTGATCTCTATAAAAACTCAGAATTGTTTTTGTGGTTCTGGATGAAAGTAGTGGTGGGACTCATTAAATTGTTTGAGTTAATTGCAGGGTCTGTAATTAATCATATCAACATTTTCAACTCAAAACCCCTTTAGCACATACATTATTGAAAAAAAAAACATTTATAGTTTTCAATCTTCAGGTTCTTCAACCTTGGAGCAAAGTTCATCTTTCCAGAGTTTCAGAAAGTCGAGATCAT